CCAGCGGACAATGAGACGCTCGATTTTATTGACAAACAAGAATCTGAGAAGGATAAACCAAATAGCCAAGTAATGAAAATAATGACATTCGAAAATTGTCAATTATGTGATTGATCAATAGGATATCGCACTATCTAGTGTCCTGCACGGATAAAGCTTTTCGCAAACAGACTGGGATATAGCTGTAACCGGTACCCAACCGGAACTAATCAACATCCGACAGATATTTTCATAGTCACAGTACGACTTTTAAGCTTTCATTCTACATGAAAAAGTATACTATGTAGCTTCTTTCATAAATAACAACCAAAAATGGAGCTCATCTCAAATTCTACAAAATAAAACAAGGGATTCGAAATTCACTGAATGTCTTTCTGCTTCTGATATCCGATCAATTCCACTAAGTATGTATCTGATCGTTGCTAATGATGTCGACGTTGAACGCAGTGTTGATGCTAAACGTCAGAATTTTGGATGCATACATGAATACTTCTTTCATCAAGATAATATGTGTTCATTTTTTCTTATGATAATTATTTTTTCTCTCCATGTATTCAATTACTTTATCATACAATTTATTATCATTTGTAGATGAATTTTCATGAAAAAGTGAATTCTTTCAGTAAAACAATATAGGCTTTAACTTTTGCGACCTGTTTTGAAGTACAATTAATTGTTCGAACCGATTTTTATTCCTATGCTCTTATATGCATTAGCAATTTTAATACGTAGAAATATTTTGAAACGTCGCGATCTCATTTATTACCGGGTCGGCTCCGAGTATGATCTCATACTCGGGACCCGAACTCGCTCGGTTGCAGAATACTAGTCCTATCATATCTACATCTCTCATCATTGAATAACAAGAGATGGTGTACATATGATCTTGATGTCTTATGTTATCAATGTCTGATATACATCTAAATGTTGCAAAGATTTCCTCGACCTATTAAGCTTTGATCACACTTTCCCAGGAATTTATAATAAGAAAATGTTTCTCTTATCATCATCATCATCATCATCGAAAAAACTACTTCAGAGTCTTTTTTTTTCTAACAATATGCTGTTCTAACTGTTTTCAATTCTACCAAGTTAGTATTGCTCGTTACATCAGAAGTCGAATTTTTCTTTCTTAAGTATATTCAATGAATTACAAAAAAAAATCAAACACAAAATGCAAATTAGTATCATCAAATACACAACAGCAAATGACTATCAATATTTAATGACGAGAAAAAAATATATTTCGATACCTCTTACTAATTCTGTAGGTTGCCGGTTTAAAAGTCTGGCTATCAGAATCTCGTACGACAGCACGTTGTAACTATAAAGTAAGAACTTATTTAAACTTTATGAAATATGTCTCTTATTTAGTTTATTTAATCTCTTTCTACACGTTTCTCTAATTAATTCATAAATACTTACACGTGGTAAAGCAAGTTCTTTAACAGTTTGAATATCATTATCACTAATTATATCATGAAACAGATAAACAACTGGTTCATCTAATAATTGTTCTTCTCTAACAGGTTGTAAAATAAGATATGGATGATTGTTATGACGATAACGACACAATAATTTTGCTTGACGTTTTAGACTCATCTTAATTGAAGAATAAAAATTTTTATTTTATATTGAAACTGTTTGTTACTTTCGATCCATTTTGTCGACAAAGTTGTTCATAAGCTTCACGTTCTTCTAAATAATCTCTTGGTCGTTGATTCTTAATTTGAACATTATCTAAATTTTTAACTATTGGAATTGATTTAAGATCCGATGAATCTGAGTCACCACTCAATGTTTTATTGCGAATAATGTCCTCATAATAATCTTTATTATTTCTTGCTCGAACATGATCAGGAGCTATCCAAAAAAGTTTAAAAAATTTTAGTAGAACAAAATATGTTAATAATGAATTTTATTACCAATTCTAAGAATTTCTTCTGTCAATGCCAAAGCATGTTCATGGTTTCCTTGCTAAAAGAAAACTAATCTATTTAAAAAACCTTGTTCAAGATATCTTTTTTCTTTACTTGGGATGTTGCAAAAGCAAGATGATCAAGAATATCAACTTTACTAAGTGACGTATTATTTGATTCTTTATCTAGATGATCGAGAGCTTCTTGCATCCACATTAATGTATGATAATAATCTCCATTTGTATAAGCAATACGTCCCAAATCATAACATTCCACAGCTATTATAAATATATTAAAGAATTTAAAAAAATATGTTCGCTCAGTCCCTACAGGATTTAAATGTGAAACACAATCTAGCTATTTTTTCTAATCACAAAGATATTGTTGTATTCTGTCAATTTTGCGACACACTTCTTCAACAGTCTCCTATCGACTTCAATGATTTTTTTCCTACAGACACTACAGTGTTCTAATAAAAATCCTAGGAGTTTGAGTCCTATTAAGATTGAACTGAGCTATTGAATCTTTTCACATGCCTATTTTTTAAGAATCGAAAATTTTCAGAAAACTCGTATTTTCAAATCTTGATCTGAGATTTTATATATAGAGAAAACTCAGCTAAACAAGGTTCCATGACAAAAATCACAAGTTTTGAACAAAATCTGGGGCGTATGAGATTTTCAAGATATAAAACCTTTTTCATGGATAGTGTCTACAACATCTATTTTTTGACCGTTTTATATCTCGAAGAGATTTTGTTGAAAACTTGTGAATTTTTTTCGAAGCTAGACTAATTGAGTTGTCTATTTGGACAAAGTTTCAGATCAAAATTCAAAAATACGAATTTTTCGAAAACCTAGGGTTCTCCAGCAAATAGACATTAAAAATTCGACAGCTAAGTCAAATCTCAATAGAAACCTAAATCCTTTTAGGGCTTGTATTAGAACACAGTGCAGTATCTATTGGCAAAAAATCATTGAAATCTAAAGAAGGCAACGGAAGAGGTTTCTTAGTTTGTGCATCTGGTAAGCCATTGTGAATAATATCCATCTTAAAAACAATACTTCTACTCACGCATTATTTTTCAGGAGGTCTAACGTTTTTACAAAATTTCGCCTGTCGGATTCAACATTTACGGGAAGACAATGTTTTCGAATTTCGATCTGAAACTTTTCCCACATAAAGACATCACTTAGACTAGTTTAGATAAAAATTTTCAGAATTTTCGAACTAAGTCTCTCTAAAGTAAGAAGTTTTTCGAAAAAATACATGCTGCATTCGCTATCCATGGGAAAGCGTCTACATCTTAAAAGTTAAGCATGTCGAAGAGATTTAATCCAAAGAATTTGAAGATTTCTATGCAAGTTAGTGTAACTGACGTCTTTTTATGGGCAAAGCTTCACGTCGAAATTCGAAAGTATGATCTTGCTGTATATCTAGAGTCCTACAGCCAGCATGCACCAAAAAGTCGCCACTCGAAATCTAACAAACACCTAGGAATATTTTCTCGTTAATACTCAAGAAATACGATAAGAAAGTAATTCATATATTATAACGAAACATTATTGATATGCAGCCTGTAATCGTATTTTGACATGTGTCATAGTCTGTGGGAGGTTCGAATTTTTACCCCTATATTTTAACATTCCTTTTAGATCGTGTTTCACAAAATTCCTATGATCACTAACCAGTTAATTTTCGTGATTTATAATTTGTGCTTATTTCTCCATTTGCTACTTCACTTGTGTTTAATTTATATGTATCTTGTAAACGCATTAAAGCAACAGCTGATCCTATTTATAATTTGTATAAAATAAAAATGAATAAGAATGAAATCTATTTACCTGTATAATCTTCATATGAAGGAAATAAATAATTATCACCCATTGTTTTCGATATGCCTAAAAACAAAAATATTCTTTTTTTGTTGAAAATGATCATTATTAAAATGAAACACGTCTTACCCTGGTATACGATTTCCTCGATACCATACCAATCAACTGTTAAATGTTTAATAAATAAGTATGAATTAACGGGATTACCAAAATAAATTTCTTCTTTGCCTTGTGCTTGACGAATTTCATCTTTAATAACATCAAGATATCTTTTTTTTTCGAAAAAAAAGGAAATACATATATTAATTAAGTTTAATCAAAAATAAACATAAATACTTTTCTATACGATCTAATCGTTCATATTCGTCATGAAGATAAGATTCTAGTTGTTTAGATAATGCAACTTCAGTATTAAATAGATTAGTTAAATGTGTTGTAGATGTAAATGATTCACTGCGAACAAATATTGATTTGACAAGAACAAGGGAGAAAATATGAATGAGAAGCATTTGCTTTTTTTTACCAATGATCTACAAATAATTGAACAAAAAATTAAATAAAAGAACCATCATTCTACATGCACATTGATGTCAAATAAATAAGGAAAATATCTGCGATGTAAGAAGAAGAGCATATGGGAAAGGATATTTCTTGTTTAATGTTTCATCGGTCAGTGATGATCAAAGTACATATTTCTGTTCTGTCCGTCCAGAAACATCTAGTAGATACGCGATAACTTTTTCCTCTCCCATATTTTTTTCCAGAAAAGAACTGAGAAAGAATCTGTATATATTGGTCTTACGCTCGATCAAGAGATATATGTACAAAAGCGAACAAATATCGGATTGGATAAAATTTAGCAAATTAATATCAATATCGTGCCTCTTTGCTGATGATTAGTTAGCTAATTTCGAAATTTATCGATATTCTTCTGTAAGTCTAGAATCTAGAATATTCTTGATTGACCAAACAATCAAAAAAGAATTTTCCTTCTGTTCTTATACCTTCTTTTTTTCTTTCTTATTCTCTCACCAGTCATCTTTGCCGGTCATGCGTCATTGTTAATAACCTTATGACGTGGACGACTGACGACGATAGTTCCACATTGTGTTTGTTTTGTGACTCATTGTCATAAAGCAGTATAAAAGGACAGACTTTTCACTCTCTATTTCATTCGTATTGCGCCAAATAATTTCTTATTTATTCACTTTATTTACTTCGTATTAATCCGTAAGAAACAACAATCATGCAAATTTTCGTCAAAACCTTAACTGGCAAAACTATTACACTTGAAGTTGAACCAAGTGATACGATTGAAAACGTTAAAGCTAAGATCCAAGATAAAGAAGGTATTCCACCTGATCAACAACGATTAATTTTTGCTGGCAAACAACTTGAAGATGGTCGTACACTCAGTGACTACAACATTCAAAAAGAAAGTACACTTCACTTAGTTCTTCGACTTCGTGGTGGTATGCAAATATTCGTTAAAACACTTACTGGAAAAACAATAACACTTGAAGTTGAACCAAGTGATACGATTGAAAACGTTAAAGCTAAGATTCAAGATAAAGAAGGTATTCCACCAGATCAACAACGATTAATTTTTGCCGGTAAACAACTTGAAGATGGTCGTACACTCAGTGACTACAACATTCAAAAAGAAAGCACACTTCATCTTGTACTTCGTCTACGTGGTGGTATGCAAATTTTCGTCAAAACCTTAACTGGCAAAACTATTACACTTGAAGTTGAACCAAGTGATACGATCGAAAATGTCAAAGCAAAAATTCAAGATAAAGAAGGTATTCCACCTGATCAACAACGATTAATTTTTGCCGGTAAACAACTTGAAGATGGTCGCACACTTAGTGATTACAATATCCAAAAAGAAAGTACACTTCATCTTGTACTTCGTTTACGTGGTGGTATGCAAATATTCGTTAAAACACTTACTGGAAAAACAATAACACTCGAAGTTGAACCAAGTGATACTATCGAAAACGTGAAAGCAAAAATTCAAGATAAAGAAGGTATTCCACCTGATCAACAACGACTTATCTTTGCTGGCAAACAACTTGAAGGTAGAAAAAAGAACTGATCATTTGTAACAGATATTAATTGATTTTTTTTCTTATCTTAGATGGTCGAACACTTAGTGATTATAATATTCAAAAAGAAAGTACTCTTCATCTTGTACTTCGTTTACGTGGTGGTATGCAAATATTTGTTAAAACACTTACGGGCAAAACAATAACACTCGAAGTTGAACCAAGTGATACAATTGAAAATGTCAAAGCAAAAATTCAAGATAAAGAAGGTATTCCACCTGATCAACAACGATTAATTTTTGCCGGTAAACAACTTGAAGATGGTCGCACACTTAGCGATTACAATATCCAAAAGGAAAGTACACTTCATCTTGTACTTCGACTTCGTGGTGGTGACATGCAATAAATGTTTAAAAGGATGTTCAAAGCAATCGATTGTATCGACTTTTTTTATTGTATAAATCATTTGGTCACATTAGTTGCGATATTCTACCGAATAGTTTTTTGTATTTTTCATTTAACCATCATACTCATTTAATAACATTGTTGTCGTTTCGATTATTAGATAAAAATAAATAGGAAAAAAGTGACTTATCGATGTATTAAGCTTATAGTTATCTATGAACAGGAAAAAAGTCGCTAAGCAAATAATATGAATATATTTCGTTAAAAAAAGAAAAGGTTACCAAACTAATCAAACTATCTGATACAGATAGTATAGCTTCTCATGATCATGTACAAAAGTAAATAAGAAAACCAATGAAGAAGTTTCTCCCAAATGTTCCTAATGCTTTTGTCATAAGTTCCTATATTTTTTTTTGTTTTTGGGCTTTCAATGTCATCATTCAATTACCCTTTACCAACAAGACCATCTATGAATTTATTTCATGGAACAGATCTCTGTTTTTCAGATACCACCCTCTTGCTCGTACAGTGTTTTATGTGATTGAAAGACGTCTGTAGATTGAGATTTTTGAGAAGCAAATTAGGAACCGCGCTTTCGTCAAACATGCGAGTAACTCTTCATTAAGTCTAATTGTCGCTTTTCCCAAAAAATGACATCTGTTTTCTTGTAAAATGGAGCATATGGAAAGAATGTGTTTTTCATTTTCTATACAGCAAACAAATTGATGTATGAAACTTCTATCCATAGAAACGATTTACTACTTTTGTTAACTGAGTCATTTCGAAGTGTTATATTTATTTGTTATTTAGTAAACAATCTGTTAATTCAGTCTTGTTTGAAAACATAGCGTTGTTTGGTTGAGAAAAATGAATTGCGTTTCTAATTTGGAGATAAGCAAACATCCTATTGTCATAATCAAATTTTTAAACATTATTTATTTATTCATTCGAAATGGATTGCTGCTCGAATATGAAATGATTGACGACGTCTTATACTCATTATTCAGTTTTTGACGTTACTCGTACTTCAATTAAGCTTTTTCTATTTTTGACTGTGGTTTCTATTAAATTAGATAATTTGAGGACGTTAATATGCACTAAAATAAAAGAAAGTATACACCAATTGTTAGTGGTAACTGCGTCTGAGATATTATCATTCGATGAAGTTACGTTTGTTATTTTTATCCTTGAATAATTGAAGGCATTAGTATACAAAATACGAATATATTCTTATACATTCTTTATTTAGGAAATACAAATATTTTTTTATAAACAATATTTCTTTGTTTGTTACATTATATGGTTTCTTTTGTATTGTTACAGTTAATTTTCGAACATATTATAAGATGGGCTTAAACGAAGACATTTTTAGTGGTGGAGCATTTTAGTTTCAACATTTATGAATCATTAGACCACAATCATTATCCGTTATTTGAAGGTAATTATTACAGATATGTTGGTTTTAGCAGTGGTCTATTCGAAAAATTTGACCTGCTCATGATTTTAAAACTGTCCGTATAAAATAAGAAGTCTAATTGATGTAAAGATGCAAAAATAAATGATTTTTCATACATGCAGAGAAGTTTTTAGAAGAAAACCACGGTTTTATTCGAAAATTTTTTCCGCGGGTAATTGTACGAATTTATTAGAAGTGTTCATTGTTGAATGATTAATAATATTAGATATTTCTCATTCGACGAAAGAGGTATGTTATAATGTACAATTAAAACATTTCTGAATATTATATTCAAAAAAGACACATTTCTTTTTTATAATCAATTTTGTATTGATTTCTATTCTATTTAATAAATTAACATACAGATACTCATTCATATTTTGTTAGTAATCGTCGTTAGAATGTTTTTTTTTTCATTTAACTATGCAACATTAATTATAAATGATTATATGTAGTGATTAGAGAAAGTCATTACAAAAATTTGCGATATACAAGCTAAATCAAATTTGAAAATTTTTATTTGTGTATTGCAATTTCTCTTACATAGTCAACTAGAAATGAAGATGATAAAATCGTAACAGTAGTTAATGAAATGAAAGATAAGAAACTTTCGTGTTTGTTGAAAACTTTGTGATGTTTATATTCAATAAAAACGATTCAAAGAATGTATTCCTCAAACCTTTCATTTATAAAATTTCATGTTAACTAAATTTCACAGTAAAAACATAGTATTAGTATAATTAAAATATTCTTTTGCTGGTTAGCAATAACATATAATTTAAATTGATTGATGTTTGTTTTTTACGGTTGTCAACTTAAATTAATAAAAAGGTTTGTCATGGTCTTTCATAACTTGGAACACTGTCTGAAATTGTTAATGTGATGTAGTGACAAATAAGTTTGAAGGTTTTTCTCATCATTATGTAAGCGTTTGTTGGAATTTTTCTGTCGCTGTATTTCTACTCATTCATTCGATATATTCCTTTCATTCTATGGAATATTGGATCATATTGCTACACATAGATAGAGTAGGTGGCAAAAGTATTCAATAAGGTCTATTTTCAATTTGTTTTCGATGCTGTAAGCACTACAAAGAGTTTAAATATCGATTCGAACGGAGAATATTGTTTCCACTAGAAATATAAATGAGAATCAGTCTCTCACAGACAAGAACTTTAGAAAATCAAAGATTTAAGCTTTTAACACTCAGAATACGTACATACAGTTTTGTTTAGGTTACATAAAACAACAACCTAAATAATTATCTACAAGATGAAACGTGTCTGAGTTCTCTACAATTTTTTATAGTTGAGATACAGTAATTTTACGGAAGCCTTAAAGTCGTTTTCTCACTTGTAAGAAAGCCATTTTTTGATCTTCAGTCAAATTGCTATGTCTCAACTAAAAAAGCATCGCAGAGAATTCGGAGTTGTCTCATGTTGTAAAAAATAATTTATTCTATCGTTCTATGTAGTCTAAACAAAATTATATTTATGTACTCTAAATATTGAAAAACTAGAGTTTTGTTTTTCTGGAGATCCTATCTTTGGAAACCTGATACTAAATTTTTACTGTCTTATGTTTTTGTTGAAAACAGTTTCCTTTAACCGAAATACTATTTGAATTCTTTCTAGCACTTAAAGCAGCGGAAAAAATTGAAAATAAATCTTATTGCATAATTTTGGTATGCACTGTATATATTACAGGCAAAACTGGAATTCTAATATTAATTGAATGCTCACCAGTCGGAAGTCAAATTTCAGTTTTGTCTGGACAAAATAAGAACTCGCATAGAGATAAATTCATATAATCACATACATTACTAAAAGTAGAGTGGAATGCAAGAAAAAAAGAAAACTGTAATTGAAGCAATTGTATTGATAAAGGATTTAACAGCCGATCGCACATGCAACTGCACAGCCAAGGGCGCCACAAAACTATGTAGATGTAACAAAATGGAATTTTTTTTTCGAATAAACATCATTCAAAACAATGTGGTTGTATAAATATGCGTGAACAGATTAAAATGTGTTGTCAAGTACATACATTATTTAACAAAATGGAAAGATATTGTCGAATTCAGTAAAAATAGTTATTCTATTTGACTTTTAATTCTATGAATTTAGCTCTAGTCGGATTCTAATTTTGCCCACACTTTGTTTTTCTTTGTATGATCATTCATGTTATCTCGGATGTTTTTACTTAATCATCCCTTCTTTTATTTCTCACATATTAAATAAACTAGACATTCACAATAACTACTGATTTCCTAAATTAATGTCAATACATGGCAGTTATTTACGATCGCTCTTTCAATTTATGCGTACGTCTGCTTTTCGACATGAACCAAAAAACATGTTGATCATGTTTATCATTCATTTCGCTTCATGATGTTGTCTACTTGACAAGTATACGTATTTAATTATTGATTTCATCGACGGAAGTGTGACTTAGGAAGACAACAAGTGAAATGTGAATAATTGTTTTTCGACTTGTTATTCTCATCGATTATGTATAGATGAAACTATTAGAAAATTTTAAAAACGTTGAATTGTACATTGTAATACAATATCTTGCATCAAAATTTTACAAGATCTCTACTATTAAAATAAGATAACTATGCATAAAACTTTCAATAAGTTAGCTATAGTCTAACAACTTTTAGTTTATTAAGTTATCTTCAAAAACTATTTCTCTATGTCGCTCAGTTTGAGAAATTTTGTTTTTACTCAACGAATGAAAATTGCGTCATATTCAAATTGAATTACTCAACCAAATATCATATACATCAATAAATTTCAAACATATATGTATAAAGAAATAATTCTATTTAATTAAGAATAAAAAGCTAGGTTAATCAAATAAATTATAGTTCAAAGAATCTCTTATTTATATAAATATATATTCAGTAGCCCCAATAATAACCAAATTGTTGTGGTTGTCTCGCTGGATTTCGTCGTGCTCTAACAGCTGGTTCTACGAACAGTTGGTCCATAACAGTGGTAGTCGGTGCCATCAGTCGTAACATAAGAATGGGTCGTTCCTGTGATATTTGTTGTGGGTACATATTTCGTCTAAGTCGAGCGAAATTGAACGAATTATTTTCGTCATCATATTCTCTGGATACTCTCTGGCCCATTGTTTTGATTTTTCGACGTCAATAACTGTACTTTTTTTTATAAAAGAAATATGTAAGTGATTACACCAAAATAAAATTACCGTTATATACTCGTATGTGATAATTTTACTCAACAATATACAGGTGAAAATTGTGAAGCGTATCGATGAAACATTGTTATTTAAAAAAAAAGAAAAGAAAGAAACAGCAGTGTTCTGTGTATTTATTAATAGCAAGAAAAAAAGAAAAATAACAATAACAATCAACACTGTTTGTATACCCTTCGATAAAAAAGAACATAAGCATCAGCTTCAAGCACTTTGCTTTCTGGAATTTTATGTATAGTATTATCACTGATATGATACCATGATGGTGTTGGACATGATGGATCTACTGTTTCAGTCATAGTAGATTGCTCTTCTGTTGT